GCAGAGAGCTGGTGTCGGCAACGACATTTCCGGGATTTATGTTTGCTAGACTTTTGGCCTTGTCTTTCTCTTTATACAACTGCCACCTCGAATAATGGTGGTAATGACAATTTCGCTAGTTTTTTAGAAGCATTGTTTTGTATTAAATAGGCCAAAAGAACCTAATTATCGTAGAGACTTGCATGAAAGTCGGCTTGTTATAAGTTTGTCAATTAAACTCGTTCATTAAGCGAATGAATATTCGACTTTAACTGTAGACATTGGCAAAGGAAACAATTCTGAAAAGGTTTACTTTTTTAGCATTAGAAAAAAAGAAACATTTTACAAGATAGTTTTGAAATGATTCTCATTGTGAATATTCCAGGACAAGTCGCTTGACAAAGTGTTATGTCATATTCAACCACAACTGTTTCAATCCTACTCAGAAGCAGCTAGCACCTGCCATTTTATTCAATAGGAAAAATAACACCTTGGTTTTCTCATTCGTTCAACTTCACAACCTATTGACCAAATGAGTTTGATAAATGAAGAAGCACAAGATTACGTTGATTATATTGATTGATTGTAGTTTTCATTCCAGTTTCTAATGCGTTCAAAATAGTCCCTTGATATTTCATTTTCTTGTTTTATTTTCTTCTTCCCTTACTAGGTTAATAGTCGGCTGGCAAAGCATCATTTCACGAAGGAGTATTTCACAGTTTGTCATGAACAATTAAATTACTTACAACCATAGATATACATTCTGTACATTGAGCTAAAGAGTACTAAACATGTACTCACTCTTTCTTTGTTGATTTTGTCACACCAAACTTATTTGATCCGAAACAGATCAACCACGCTCGGAATTCAGTCACATTTCTATCATGAGAGGATATTCGGATATTGTAGGTATCTATTTTGTCGAAATCAATTAGCAAACTCAAGATTTGCATACCGCTTGTATGCTGGGGACTTGTCAACAACTCAGCTGGACGTCTTTATAATGTAAGTGTTGCCCCCAGTGAATGTGGCCGGCATTTTAGTTTTACATTAGTTAAATGTTATTTGCAGACAATGTAGATGGTGAAAGGCGAGGTTTAATAATCAGTCACTGGTACTTAGAACAGCAAAAGCAATGGAAAATCTCCGACAGCCAATGGTTTTGCCCAAATCTGTGACCTAAAAGAATTCGCCAGGTATGATACGTAACTGAATATTTGTCATTTACTTATCTAAAACGAATTGAACGAAGGACAAAACTAATGTTTAAAAGGATTTAGGTGGCGCCCCCTGCTTCTTGGAGAACAAAAGGATTCAAATAATAACATTTCTAGTCGATTTTAGCTACTATCGTCGAATTTACTGAAATTTTGCCATCTATCAGGTAAATATTACTGTATTTTTATAATAACCCGTTAAATTTTAATGCAGATGAATCTATATTTATCCCAAAGTTTTCAAATCCTGGAGAGGAAAATGAGATTGGTTGGAATTTTCGTGCGGTTCGAAAAATCAAAGGTAATATTGCTGTGTTTCTACTGTTGAAGGAAAGTTAGTTTTGGTTCGAATTATCGCGGCAGGTTTTAGAAACCAAGTATTCATCAATCGAGAAATCGGGATTCTACTGATAGGTTGCAGTTGAAAACCCACCCGCCATTATAATACTGCCTTTTTTCAGGAAATTATTATTTTGAACGAGTTAACGTTTAAGAAATTTCCTAGTGCCTTTCAAGCGTACTTCATTGACTTTACGGTTGACGGGGCAACCTCATATTTATATTCCTAATAACTAAATTTCTTGTTTTTGTTCATCATGAATATATACACTGCAGTGCTTCCAGGGGTTTTCACCACTGTCAAAATTAGCTAAAGTTGGCCCAAGTACAAAGCCACTATACGACGTCATAACGAGTTGCGGGATCTTGAGGCGCAGATGCTTAATCTGGTCTGTCATGATGTTGAAATTGAACCTGTTCTGCAGGAGATTACCGGTGAGTCGTTAGCCAAGGGGGCTAATACAGCCCCCGATGCCCGGCTTGACATTCATGCAGGGGGGTTTGGGTTTAAACAGGGTTCCACATTCTTTGACGTACGGGTGTATCACCCAAATGGGGAATCTTATAAGGACCTCTCCCTTCAGCAAATATATCGCCAGCATGAAAACGAGAAGAAACGTATGCACGCAAGCCAAGTTATGGAGGTGGAACAAGCCACGTTCACGCGCCGCTGGTGTTCACCACTACAGGTGGCATGAATGTCAAGTCTATCACAAGCGACTAGCGGAACTCCTGTCAGCCAAGAAAGGCGAGGACTACTCGACTACGATCGATGTCTTGGATAAGAACCAGAATCTCATTTGCCATTCTGAGAACAACCCTCCTATGCTTAAGGGGATCGCGCTCAATGAGGAGAGTATTAAAATCTCAACCTAAAAGAGATGGACTTTGACATCGAAAGAGGACTTTAAGGATGCTAGATTTTGATTTGGAGAAAAGATATTGAATATTGCATATTCAATTATTACTACTATTTAATATTCTTATAGTTGTTGGTTCATGTTGAAATCGTGGCAGATTTTAAAGAGGAATTAGTGGAAATATGTTAAATATTGGTACTAAATGCTAATAGTAATAGTAATAATAATCAGTAGAGAAACATTGTCGTTGGATTATATTTCAAGAGATATTGAGACTTAGTATGATCTTTCCTATTTACAAATACACAAATGTACAAATTTCGTTTTAATCCTTTTTTTAGTGAAGGTACATGGGTCTTTTTTATGAGTATTGAATCTATTTGTCAAATGGTGACGAGTGAAATTAGGGAATAATTTCATATGCGTTTTGTC